TGGTGATATATAGCTAGCAATAAATATGTATATATATATATGTTTCTATGAAAATGTTAATCTACAAGACGCAGGTTATCATCATCATTGATTTGTTGTTGTCACTTTTTGGCGTTTCGCTAAACCAACAAAAGCTGTATCAGACTTTACTAAGACAATAAAGATTTGCTAAAAATATAAAAGTGTACTAAGATGCTGCAGTTTCTCTCAGCGTCTTAAAAGTGGCACAAAATAACTTTAAGTCCTTATTATCGCGGAGTGAATAGCGGCTTTGTTCATTCTAACGTCTATAGAAACATTGCTTTCTTGGATGGACGTGTTGGCTTCGACAAGGCGGTGGGGAGGATCACATTTTGATCAAATGAAGTGGAAGGAATTTGATGTCGCGGTCGTCTGTTTTTTGAAGGACACAGTCAATTTTGTTGACATTTGATTATCTCGTGTGTCTTCAATAAAGTATCAAATATCTTTCCGAGTAATTGTCTGAATCCTGATATACATGCCAAAGGTACAACTTCCTTTAGTTTTGTCTATGAATGTGTATATATATTCTGTGGATAAAATATTAGATTATGAAATAAATAAAGAGAAAATTTGGAATCTGAAACCCTTAAGGGGGCACTTGGACCCCGAAATTGTTAAGTGATGACAGAAGATGGAATGACTGAAAAGACACCAGGACCAACTGATGCAAAGGGGTTATGGAGGGAATAGTGGAAGATATATAGATAAAGAAGTAACACAGTTGAAATTAAAGAGTCAAATGTGGCACCGAGAAATCTGGAAAGAACACTAAAAATAAAATAAAAAAGTAGACCACTTTGAAATTAGCGATTATTTAAGTATTAAAAAGACTGTCATTCTGAGGTTTGTCAACACACAGATTGTCATATGCACTTTGACCATTTCAATGCAGTAAATATTTTAGTTTAAATAATGTTTTTTGATTGAAATATGTTATGACAGCACATTTTAATATTGTAGCAGAATATTATCTTTATAACATTTTTATATTTTGCTACACTATGAGCGTTTCCATCAATTTCTTTCTGGTATTTTTTAGGTTTGAATTTGTTTGATATTAAATAAATATCGTATCATCCCGAGGTTTTTCTTTTCTGATTTTCTAGTGGCATTTGGTGGAGATGCTGGGTGAATTAGAGATGAACTGAAGATCAGACACCTTAAGGCCATGGGTTACATTTTTCAAACCAAAACTTCGATCCGAAAAGACAATGTCCCTATAGACAACAAAGCCGCTCTCATTGCTGCAAAAAAAAAATAAAATAAAATAAATAAATAAAAATAATAATAAAGAGCGCAAAGTTACTATGGATACATTTCAAGACTTCGAGGGAATCCTTGCCAGAAACAAGTCAGATTCATGTCAGTACCAACTAGATTTGAAAGCTCAGCCCCTTAGGGAAGGAGCTATGTATTTATTATTCTATAATACAATTTTGATACTCTTTGCTCCACTGTGAACCTTCATTGCCTCTTTGGTAATTTATAGATTTTTCATTAAACAAATTGCCGTGTCCTTCTGAGGTTTGTCTTTCCTAATGTGCTGAAATGATTAAATATATTGTTTAGTGAATATACAAGGTATGTCCCATAAGTTCGCGGACTGGGTCCATAAAAAAATAAATAAATGAAAAATGTAAATAAATTTGACTGTTTATTATAGAAAAAATATCTGGCAACACGGTGGTACCAATATCGAGGCTGCACGTGCGAGCGCGCCAAGGTCATTCTAATTTATTTAAAGGTTACACCTAGCGCTGCGGCGATTTTACGAGGGAACAAAAATTGAAGCAGAGGATTTGCATAGAATTTTGTGGGAAACTTCAAATATCAGCAACCGAAACTTTTGAAAAGCCTAATAAAGCATTCCCCAATGACCACCCAAAGAGAACAACTGTTTTTGAATGGCATTCTAGATTTAAAGCTGGCAGAATTTCTATTGAAGATGATCCTCGTCAAGGACGCCCAAAATTTCAAAGGACTGATGAAAATGTGCAAAAACTCACCTATTTGATAAAAGAAAATCCTCGAACCACTTTGCTGGAGCTAGAGCACGACACAGGCATCTCTAAAACAAAGATTGGAAGGATCGTAACCAAAGATTTGAAGCTCAAAAAGACTCCTGAAAAATTCATCCCAAGATTCCTCACTAATGAGCAAAAACTGTGTCGGATTGCAACCTGTGAGAACATGTTGGAAATGACAAGAACGGATCCGGAATGGAAAGACAAGATAATCACAGGCGACGAGACATGGGTCTATGGCTCTATGGCCCTGAAACCAAGCGTCAATATGCCGAGTGGAGAGGTCAGGGTGAGCCTAGACCAAAAAAATCCAGGATATTGAAATCCACAAGGTGTTGCTGGTCGCTTTTTTGGATAACAAGGGCATTGTTCATCACGAGTATCTTCCTTCAGGCCAAACAGTTATTAAGGAAATGTCATTGGGCATTCTTCCTCATCTAAGGGAAGCTATTCGAAAAAAAAAGGCCAGAAAAATGGTCTAATGGTGACTGGATCCTACACCATAACAATGCCCGCCCTCACACAGCGCACTTGGTGACGAGGTTTTTTTTGGCTAAAAACGGGACAGAAATCCTACCTCAACCACCCTATTCCCCAGACATCGCACCAAATGACTTTTTCCTGTTCCCCAAACTTAAAGCAGTTCTAAAAGGAAGACATTTTGACACCAGGGATGACATAATAGAAAAATCGTTGTTGGCATTGAAGAGCATTCCAAAAGAGCCCTATAAAAACCGTTTCGACAATTTGGAGAAACGATGGCGCTGGTGCGTTGAAGCAAGGGGGGATTACTTAAAAAAAAAAAATCTTACCTTTTTTTTTTATGGACCCAGACCGGGAACTTATGGGACATACCTTGTATGATGGTCCAGAGTGTTGCTCAATGTAGTGCCCTGGTATGTATAAACCCCAGGGGGAGGTAATATCTTTATTTACAGGGCTGTTAACCAGAATGGATGGTAAACCCCAGGTAATTCTTATTATTGAAATCGAGTATTATTTTGTAATCATTTTTTTTTGCTTATCCCTAGTACACGTGGTACAGGCCATGATAATCATGGTGGGTAGTTAGCGACTGCTTTTTACTGTAAGCGCACCACATGTCTACACATGTGAAAGCAGTTCGACTTTGCACTTACAAATGTGCCAGAGCCCCGTTTGGTTACTTGCACTCGCTGGTGGGGTTGGACTTTTGCAAGAATCGGGTGGCATTGGAGCATTTTTTTTTTTTTTTTTTTTAAACAGAAAAAAAGTGTCCAATGCGGGGATCGAACCTGGGTCGTAAACCAAACGGTTTAACCAGCCTTCCACCGACCCCCCATTTTGTGATCATTAAGTGGGATAGTTGGGGTCTATGGAGATTTGGGAGATGTTGACTTTACCGTGTTTTTCATTAATTGTATCTCCCTGGTAAAATAGGGAGCACAGGGCAGTTTTATATTTTCTAGTCAGGAAGTCTCCACCTGATGTTGGAGCCTTTTATTTCTAGGTCTTTTGCTTCATCGAGCATGGTTTCTGTGAGGATTATCTGCATATTGATAAAAAAAAAATTGGATGCACTTCTAATTGAAGACAATAGTTTCTAACGAAAAAAGGGGAGTCAAGGGAACAGGATGAGGTTTGCTTACCTTCTCCACCTCTCTCTCCACAAAGCATTTTTTACCAAATTTGTTAAAACTTGATAGCTATTTGATTGCTTAGAATGAGGCCATGAGCCCAGCGATGGGGGCTAGAGGCTACCAACCAATGTTGTCTGATCCCTTTGGTGTGATCTTCGAATATAAAGTAAGTGTCCTGCTCATCAAGTTAAAGATGGTGTGTTAAGCTCAATAAATATTGACTGTACTGCTCTCTCAGATGAAGATCAGTGCGTCACCCAGTTGTGGTATCTGGGTAACTGCATCTTCCAAATACACTATAGTTGCTGCGATATGGGGAAATATAATCACTATAACATGGCTTGCTATGATGGCGACATCACCTAATTTGCAAGTTTCCATCTCTTCCTTTTAAGCCCCATACCATCTGGTGCCACATAGAAGTTTTGTCAATTCTGTTGGATATTCCCCGAGCGCTGCAGAAGTGATGGTGAAGATGGTCTTGAACATTGCTGGTGACTTTCATCAAGTTTAAACATCATTTTGTTTGGCAGCCTGTTCAATATTCTTTCAGAGTTGCTAGATCGCGAGTCATCTTTCACAAACTGAAGGTAATGTCCTCTATTTTCTTATTCACAAATATTGCTTTCGAGAACTTTTATGGGTGGAGATTTATTTTCAAAGAACCAAAAACATAATTTCTGGATCTATCGAAGTTTTTCACCACCAGTCATTTTAAACATGATACATTTAGAGTGCCATCTGTTACCCCTTTCAGTGCTAATAAGGTGATTTAGCATAAATACTCTACAGACTGAATATTTTTTGAAAAAATCAATTTTCTCATTTTTCAAAAATAATTATATAAAATAATACTAAGTAATATAAAGTATCAGAAAAAAATCTTATATAAGCTTAAAAATAAGATATATAATATTTATCGCTATATATAGAACATAAATAGATATGATATGACATAATAAAAATATGATTTTTATTATTCATTAATATAATAAAAATTTTATAATCAGAACCATAATATTTATTAATATTGTTTTCATAATATAACTAAAATTATAATTTAAATAATCAAAGAATTAAACAGAGTTAATTTTTTAAAAATGTAAAGAAATTCTTAACAAAAGGAATGCAACCAAATAGTTTTTTTTTTTCATTTTAATTAATAAATCTTTATTATTTGAATATTCACATCTTGAGATGCCTTATTTCAACATGATAAAAATACATTTATGTAATGGTAAACCCCATGTTTGATATTTCTGTACCAAAAACAGGTACCATTTAAAATGAGTGGAAGCTAGCAGAGATGCGAATTGTATATTTGTGTGTACTGTACAAGATGGTGTTAGATCCCGAGGAGCTGCTTGGTTTCCTCCTGTAGGGACTTGCTGGCATATCGGTTAAGAATCTCCTGTTTCTTTCTCTCCACGATGGCTTCTTCAATCTCCTTCTGTGAGGGGACAGGAACGTGAGCGATGAACCTCAGCTTGCCCCCGGCTTCCTCCACCTCACTCACATGGATCTCTTCCATTGGTTCAGAGCCCTGCTGCAGCTCAGTGGCCTGCCCATCCTGCCTCTCCTCCCAAGCCAGCACAGCTTTCTCTATTGCCTTCCGCTCCTCTTCCATGTCTAGAGGCACAAGGATGCCGTCATCCCTGTACCCATAGTAGTCTGCATCAATGTCTTTCATCAGTTCTGCTCGGGTCTTCCTCTGGGGAGCTGGAGGTTCTTGTTCAAAGAGTTCCCTCACTCCAGGCAGATCTTTGGCAGCTCCAAAGTATTTGTAGCCTTTGTTCCCTGGGACCTCCCTGCCCTCGTGGTCCAACATCTTTGGTCCCACTTGAGAGTAGTCCTGCCCACCAAGTTCTTTAACTCGGACTTCCCAGTGCCCTTTTTCTCTGAGTAACTTGTTGATATCATCGTTGAGATCTCGGATCCGGAACTCTCCAAGTCCAGCATTCTGTATTTGGGCCACTTTCTTGGCAATCTCCCGGATGACCTGCATGCGGAACTTCTCAGCTTTGCGTAGGTTGTGGCAGTGGGAGGCGAGATGGGGCCTCTGCTCCTGCACCCCCTTGCCTTGTTCCTGGAGCTGGTGGGCCCTCCACCTGGCTAGTGTGGTCATGGCTTTTTCTGCATTCCGAGCCATTTTTGAAAGACTTAGTTAGAAAATTCTAGATTTTATAAAAAGTATACGATTAGATTATTTAATTTAATATTTTAAATGTCTTATTTTGCCTTAGTATTTTCATTTAATAAAACAAACTTAAATTGATATTTAAATTTAAACTATTGTATCAAAACATAGACAAATATTTTATTATCTATATATAAACAAAAAAAAAACCTATTTGGTTGCATTCCTTTTGTTAAGGATTTCTTTACATTTTTAAAAAATTAACTCTGTGTTTAATTCTTTGATTATTTAAATTATAATTTTAGTTATATTATGAAAACAATATTAATAAATATTATGGTTCTGATTATAAAATTTTAATTATATTAATGAATAATAAAAATCATATTTTTATTACGTCATATACAGTCGAACTTGGATAATTCGAACCCCAAGGGACCATAAAAAAATTCGAATTATCCAAAAATTCGAATTAAAGATGTTTTGAATAAAGGCTTAAGGCTTCTAGGGACCAAGATAAATATTCGAATTAAAGAAGTTCGAATTATCCAAGTTCTACTGTATAATATTTATAGTAGTAGATAATACATTCATATAAAGACCAAATATATTTTTAAAATATGTTAAAAGTAAAATAAACATACTTGTATTGATCTGTGCTTTAAATTAAAAGTTTTAGAAGTGTTTAAAAATTCTTTATTGTGTGGAAAGTTTTGAAACAAGGCACCACACACAGAGCAACATCACAGTCTTTGCACATGTAGCGTGATTCTTTCCTCTTTTTGTTTGCTCCACAAACACAGCAATATCTTGTAGGATTTTTTTTCTTCTCAGTAGGGGGAACTAAAGATGGAAAGTGCCTCTCAATAAGCCTAAGGGGTCTGTCTTCAGATGTAGAAGGTCTGCCCCTATGAACTTGAACTCTAGCTTCATGGTACTTCTCAATAATCTGGCCAATGAGATTGATGTGGAATTCAGCAAAAGATGGACGTTTGCCTGTATTTACTAAATACAAAGAATATGCATTTAGTAAAGATGTATCAATGAAGTGTAAAAAGAGCTTTTTGTACCACTTGAGAGATTTTCTAAGACAGCCAATGCTGCTAAGTAGCATATCCGTCTGATCGACAGTGCCCATTTTCTGGTTATAGTCAATAACAGCTGAAGGTTTTTGAATTGGCAGATTAGTGACTTTATCTCTTTTGTTTGTATTAGCAAATTCATTTTTATGCATTGTGGACAGCATGAAAACTTCTCTTTTATCTTTATATTTTAGTGCAAGTAGGTTTTGTGTGTGTTTGGCTTCTGTTTCCCCTATTTTCAATTTTTTCCCAAATCTTGGCATTTCTTTTCTGTTTTTTTTCTGACTGTGCCACAAGCATTAGTTTGACGTTGATGAAGAAAATTGAAAAGAGTTGGGCTAGAATACCAATTATCCACCCATAAGGAATGCCCTTTGTTCATATATGGTTGTAACAAAGTTGTAATAACTGACGATGATACTCCCATATCTGAATCTTCGATTTCTGTTCCTTTTCCAACATACACAATAAAATCTAAAATATATTTTGTTTCCACATCACATAAAACAAATAGCTTTATTCCAAACCTTTTCCTTTTGCTTGGAATATATTGTTTGAATCCAAGTCTTCCTTTGAACAGAACAAGACTCTCATCAATACAAATATCTTGAAAAGGTTTGAAAGCATTTTTATAAGCACTTTTCATGTGGTCAACTACAGGCTTTAGTTTGTGGAGTTTATCACCTGGAATTTGGGTCTTATTATCGTTGAAATGCAACACTGAAAGAATCAAAAAGAATCTATCTCTTGACATAAGTTTAGAAAAAATTGGGGAAAAGTGAAGTTGATTGGTACTCCAGTATTCTTTCAATGATACTTTTTTATTTCTTGTCATAAGGAAGCATATTGCTAGGAAAACAAATAGTTCATGATAATTAGTGTCCACCCATCTATTCATTCTAGAAAACTTCGAAAATTCTATTGTGTCTATAAGGTATTTTGCATATTTATTTGTCTCTACAGCAATCATTTCAAGGAAATTTATATTGATAAAAATTTCAAAAAAATCAAGTTCTTTTTCAAGCCTACATGTATCTACCTGTAGTCCACTATTTGATCAGTCAAATGAAAAAATGATCGGATCATAATTTGAGTTATCAGACCAAATATAGTCTGACCGAGGTGTTTTCAATGGTGGGGGTACCTCTTCATCTTCACCACTTGACTCTTCATAGTCGTACACAATAGTGCAATCAGAATCAGTATCCTCTAATTCTGATTCAGGATTTGTTGCATAATGCAAGAAATCATCTTTTATAGAAGCCATTCTAAAAAAAAAAAAAAAAGATAAATATATTTATGCAAGAACGTATAAACAAATTTTATACTGCAATGATAAAATAACAGGAGGGCCTGGCTCACCAGATTGGTCTACTACACCACTCTAATATTGTACCGGGCCATTTTGCTTTTGTTCATCCAGTACTGAAGATCTCTTGGCAAACATTTTAAACAAACTCTGGACATAAGCTTTGGGGACAGTAGAAATAAATGTTTCAAGCATTGCTCTCTTCCACAAAAAATTAGGATATTATAACCAATTTTGTTGCAATTCCTTATTGATGTATTTCTCTATCATAAACCTCAACCATTTAGCCTAGCCTTCATGTGCTCCTTTGTTAAAGAATGTGGAACCCAAGCATCCTTTATGGACTTTTAAATGTTCATGCAGAATGGCATTCCCACTTGAAGAACATACGAGGGCGAGTAGAAAAGTAAGGTTGCCTATATATTTTTTTTTCATAGAAAAACACATTTAATCACAACTTTTTATACATCATTGGAAAGGTTGGACACTTTGCTATTTTTCTACATAGTCGCCTTGATGCTCAATCACTTTTTTCATCCTGTCAACCAACTTTGTAATTCCGGTGTTGTACCACTCTCCCGCCGCCTCTTTGAGCCACTTGTCAACCCACCTGGCGGACACCTTTCTGTAGCCGAGGGTCTCAGACACAATCTTGTGCACGGAGAAGTGGCTGCAATCTTCATTCAGGCCATCCTCGATCTCTTTAAGGGTTATCCGCCGGTTTACGGTTGATTCCGGCAAACTCGGGCGCCCAGACTGCTGTTCATCGTGGACGTTTATCCGCCCCTCGTTAAACTCCCGGCACCATTTCCGCACATTTTTGATGTCCATGCACTTCTCACCATACACTTCCACTAACTGACGGTGAATTTCGACCGGAGAATTATTTTTCGCATTTAAAAAGCGTATAACTGAGCGCAACTCGCACTTGGCGGGAGAGCTAAGGGGAAGCTCCATCGCGAACGGCTGCCAGACAGCGACTGAGCGTCCCAAGATCACCAGGAAGGTTCTAGACGGTAGAGGGGGAACCAAGGAAGGCAGCGGTGTTGTCGGATTTCACCTAGCAATGCGCGTTCGGAAATTATCTCGTAGAAGACCTTAGTGTCCGCCAGGTGGCTCAAAGAGGCGGCGGGAGAGTGGTACAACACCGGAATTACAAAGTTGGTTGACAGGATGAAAAAAGTGATTGAGCATCAAGGCGACTATGTAGAAAAACAGCAAAGTGTCCAACCTTTCCAATGATGTATAAAAAGTTGTAATTAAATGTGTTTTTCTATGAAAAAAAAAATATATAGGCGACCTTACTTTTCTACTCACCCTCGTACATGACTTCATGGATTCAGTTGTATTGGGAATATCTTCTCTCTCTCTCTCTCTCTCACTCAACACTAGAAATAATAGATTTGATGGCAACCTAAGGAATGTTACAAGTGGTGTTTTCACCTGCTATCTATATACATGTGGTCACATTGTAAAATTTGGGTGGGAAGAGGAGAATCATTTGAAAAAAAAAACATTAAAACATCTTGTTACTGTGCCATACCAAAGCCACATTTAATTAAATGAAACAACAATAAATTAATCTTGTTTGGATTTGTTTGCCTTATATCGTCATTTTAACCTTTCTTTCTGATAGTTCTATTTCTCATTCTTAAGTTGATGAGCTCTTTTCTTTTTTTCAAGATGTGACCAGATAAAGATGCGGATGAACAAATTGTACATTGGATTCAGATCTTCCCTTCACAAGGTGAGCAACTTAAGGACGAAGCTAATCAATACAAGTAACATGCCTCAAGTATGAGCATATATATTTATATATATATACAGTAAAACCCCGCTAATACGAACCCCGGATATAGCGAATCTTCCCTTATAACGAACCTAAGGCGATTCCCAATTCCATTCCATTGAAAATACCATTGTTATAACAAACTTTGTGATTTTTAAAATAACGAACCTATTTTCGGTCCCAAAATAATAAAATCTATTTAAAATACTATGCTTATAACAAACTTAAAATTGTAATTTAAATTTTTTTTTTTTTAAGTTTTGAGCTTGTTTCAGCTTGCGGATCGCAATTTCAAAAAAATAAATTTAGCTGGATTGTTTGTTTTGATTTACATTCTATTTTTGCTGTATGTTGTATAAATTTTTACACATTATACTTTTTATTAAATAGAATATCTTTGCAGCCATTAAATTTGAAATAGAAAAAAAAATGCAAATGGCTTTCAAAATAAAGAAAACAAAGGCATTCAAAAAACAAAAAATGTTATTACTTAAAAAAAGGCCATTTTCAAAACTTTTCAAAGTGAAACAACACAGGCAAAATTTCAGAACATGTTAAAATAAGAAAATATAACTTTTATATTATAAGAGATAAAATAGAAGGCTATTAAAAATTGTTACAATCACAGGCCCATGATGAAACAAAAACTATTTTTATGCCAAAACTATGGCGATTTTAAAGCCAGCAATGTTTTGCATGACAGGTTTAAAAAAAAACGAAGATTATGTGAAAGAAGAATATGTGGAAACATGAAATATAAGAAAAACACTTATTAACTTTATTTGAAAGGTGCAATGCTTGAAGAGTACTTTGAAGCAACAAGGTGTTAAGAGCCATTTTTCCAAGTAAACATTGTATTATACAATGTGATAAAGATGCTTTTAAATCATTTTATATCTTTGAATATATATTTAATAAAACTTTGCCTAGGATTTGTCTTGGTTTTTAAATTAAACATTGAGGTACATGTATGTTAATGATAAGAACCTATCATTAATTGATTTCTTTTATTATTCACAAAAGGTAATAATCTATAATCCAAATTGTGCCTTATCACCTTTTATTATTCAGTATTAATGTAAGGAAATTGGTGAATTATGGGAATTAAAACAAAGTGACCACTATTAAGAGGCTTCCTGTGTATATGGCTGTCCTTTAATTATAAGGTCTAAAATTTTTGAAAAGTTAAAAAAAAAAAATTGCCAAACCGAGGCTATAGTGAACCAAAAGCTCTGTCCATTGGGGTTCACTATAGAGGGGTTTTTACTGTATGTGGCGACCACACTTTTCTTCAGCGAGCGCAAACTGGGACAAAGCTTCACTACACATACGGGCAGTAGTGTGGCGGCCTCACTATGCCTCGGCAAGCGCGAGCTGGGAGAACACCTCACTAAGCATGCGCGGGTAGCATCCAGGACTCTTGGCACACGCGTCGTTCGAACAAGGCTTGCTTCTAGCGGCCGTTACTTCTTTCCTCTCTATATATTTCGAGGCTTCAAATAAATTAATTTATTTTATAAAAATAATTATAATTTTATCAGCGGCCTTTCCACAAGCCACACCAATACGCACGCAACCATCCCACAAAATTGGTGAGCCGGACGTGATAGAGATTTTGAACCAAATGATCTCGAATAAAGAATTAACGGCCAATGTTAAGGGCAAATCTTTGCAAATCATGAAAGCTCAATCACTCACGATGGTACTTACCCCATCTCAAATATCAAAATTGATTTTTCAAGCTCCACCCTTCTTGCCAAACGACATTGCATTGTGGCTTAGCCAGCTGGAAGCTGCTTTTATTTTTACAAACATCGCCAGCGTCAAATTAAAGTATTCCGCAACAGTAGTTAATTTAAATAGACAAACTCTCTTCTGCGCCTATGACATTGTAGAGAACCCACCTGTTTCAGGAAAATACATAACAAACATACTAAAAGAACGGCTTCTCCAGCAATTTGGCCGGTCACACCAGGTACGAATAGCCAGAATCTCAGAAAGAAAGCCCATTGTTGATCAGAAATCCTGGCTGAAATGCGACATCAAATTGGTGGCAGTTTTCGGAAGAAGTCCTAAAAGTCCTGTGGACTCAACGCCTTACACAGTCCATACAATGAGTCCTGTCGGTGGTGCTGGAACTAAATTTGACCAAAATGGCAGATAACATTCACGAAGCCACAAGGTCAACCATGGCCATATTCCACCAAATGAACCCAGATCAAGGCATTACTGCGGAGGCATTTCAACATATGGCAGGCCAGAGAATCTCATAAAAATTGAAATAATATAATTTTCAAATATTGTTGTGAAAATTTACATTTTTATTTTTTTGAAACACACAGTTTGGAGCGGGACGTTTCACAAGAGTGACATCCACAGCGCCAATTATAATTGTAACGAATTGTATTTAAATAAAAACATTTCTAAAATATAAACACAATCGAGTAAAACCCGGGCGTTGCCTGGGTCATTCGGCTAGTAATAAATTAAAAAAAAAAAAAGAACTTTTCTCCCCTACATGTTTAGTGATAAAACCAATCACATAGAAACCTTGTATGTGCTGCCAACTTCTACAGAATTATGGCTGTTGTATCAAGTCTGGGGCACCAAGCTGTAACAGCACACAGTGGTTAAAATATTCTTTCCAATATTACAAAAAGGACATTGGAGTGCCAGAGAACGGAAGATTGCAAAACAGCCAATTGGCTGGCCAACTAACACAGAGGCCAAGCTCAAATCTGTTTCACAATTCTCCAAATGATGATCCATTCTGGCTACTGAGCAGGTTAGCTGATCAGAGTTACCTGAGTTCATTTTGCAGAGTTCCCAGGTGACAGTGCAGAGCGTTGTGCTATCACAGCAGGTAGGTTGGTGGTTAGTATGGGAGGTCTGCAATGTCATTTGAGGGGAGAAATGGTGCAGGATAAAAGTCAAAATTAGGAAGAATTATTGAGGAAATCTGAAAAAATATAGATGAAACCCAGAAGCGCAGTTCCATAGAAGAGGGCAACTTGCAAGTGTCCACTTTGGATGCAACCAACTCCCTAAAGTGACCTGGCTGGTGTAACTTGGAAAAACAGGGTCAACAGAAAAACTTGGCTCTGGGGTTTCTGTCACAACATGATCATATTAGATATTGGAAATTCACAAGGACATCACTTGTAACAAAGGAATAAATGTTTAAATAGGCAAACCCTAGGTATGTTAGCAATTATAGCACAGGGTTGGTAAATGGTACTTTTCAGAGTAAAAATACTGGGCTGTCACCTAGCATCTTGGTATTTTTGGCTTCAACTCCATAAATAGAAAGAATCATTATAGAGTAACTGTAACATGGCGTGTATTAAGTCTAGGAGGATGAATAAAGAGAGAATGAAGCTACTTTATAAGATAGTTAAATATAATGATAAGGCACAATTTGGATTATAAACACAAGGTAATAAGACCAAATCCATATAAATAGTGTGCAACGTTTTGATAAAAGTGTTGTTACCAAAACGTCACACACTATTTATTTATTTGGTCTTATTACCTTGTGTTTATAGTTAAGTGTAATAATCAATATAGATAATACGCTTTTAATATATAATATCATATTAAAAATAAAGAAGGCATCTCCTGACCACGAGCAAATGTGCTTTTTAGATGGCAGAGCACCATCTAGTGGAGCGAAAATAAACTAAACGTATCATATATAAAAATTTCACTGCAGAAAAAACTGCCATCAATGGAGCGCAAGAGTTCTTTGTCAGTGTTGTCAAGTTGATTAGGTGGATGGCACTCAAGATTTGCCATACCTGAGTTCTTCATTCCCAGTCCACTTTTAGAGAAGACCCCTAGATTCCATCATTAGGGTGATACCATCACTCTGACTTCCTTCACTTGTCCACCTTGACAGACAAGCCATCCACGAGTACAGCAGCTACAGGGAAATACCACCCTCTGACACTACTTTCTTCAATTAAATAATTCCTCTAAATAATGAATTTTTATGCAAATATTGTTTTTTTTTAATTGTTATATATAAACAAACTTTTCTCTATTGCTTTGCATCTACGTCTTTAACGCTAGCAATAAAGCTCTTTAGATGTTTACTTTTGTGCTCAGAATTTCTCATTTGTGGGAAGCTTCGCTGTTCATCTTCAACCTCAAAAGTTCAACCGAAGCTCATCAAATGCTATATTACACCTATGGCTACTTTCATTAAGAACCTGTCAAGAGTGGTTTAATGATTCAAATCTGGAGATTTTGAAATCAACGAACACAGGAAGAAGCCATAAAAGTTTGAGGAACTGCAAGCACTATTGGATGAAGATGCTCAAAAGCAACAGCCGCTTCTCTCAACATGACTCAAAGAGCTGTTAATCCATTTGCGTGGTATAAGAAAGATTCAGAAGGAAGTAAAATCGTAGACCAATATCTGAAATCCTGCTGGAAAGGTTTTTAAGAAAGTCTTCATCGAAGTAATAAGACCAAATAAATAATGTTGCGACATTTCGGTAAGTGTTGTTACAATCAGCCAACAACACTGTTACCGAAATGTCACACACTGTGTTTCAATCTATAATCCAAATTATCACAGTCTTCATCATGTTGTAACTGAGGAATGTCAATCTGAAGTGCAAGAAATTCTGGGGAAGCCCAGGACAGTTGACAATTTTATGGCCAAACCCAATATCTACAGCATACTTGACTCTCTGCAACCAGGCAAAGCAGTCACGCCTAATAAAGACGCAATGACAAGTTGATACTGCTTCATGACAATGCAAGGCCAAATGTCGTACAATTAGTAAAAGACACCATGAAAGAATTCAAATGGGAAATTTTTGCCCCACCCGCCATACTCCCCAAACATAACTCCACCATTATTATTTTTGGAAATATGGAACATTATCTGGCTCACCTGCACTTCCACAAGTTGAAAATTGGCTTGATCTTCTTCTTTCTAATAATCTCCACTCAATCATACTAAGGTATCAAGCTTGGGTAAAGTAAAATGCGTCTGCCTTTGTCATTAAGACTGGTAGCACTACTCAGTGGCAGGCCGACTTAGCTCCAAAAGAAATGGCCGCCTCTGACATGAGGAACAGACGCCATGTGCAGCCGCTCCTAACAGTACAAGCGCTGCTCATCCTGTATCCCTGAATTAGGAGCCCTTACAGGGTACTATCAGCCGGGCCAGCTGAGCCCAGGTTTTTTAGTGAGCTTGTTACTGCACCCCTCCTCCTTTTTCATCCGGGCTTGGGACCGGCAAAGGCGGAGAAGCTTGATTATTTTATCTAAATATTAGGTTTTTTTTTTTTTAAGTAGAGGCCCTGATGTTGGTAGCATTTTGAATCGGCCATATTTGTACATTAACCATTTCATTTTCAGATATAAATTGTTTTTCTTTACACAATATAACTAATTATTGAATGCTCCATTTAGTTCTTCTAATTCTTGATAAAATTTTTAAATTGGGCTTTAGCAATATCTAATTCTTTTGTAATTTGTCTATCGCTAACACCAAATGTCATTTATTAAAATTTTATTAATTAAAAAAGTTATATATATATGACCCTTTATTCATAATTTACTTTAATAAATTATAAAATAACGATTGAATTTCAAAGTGAATATCCTGAGAAAACAAAATGACACAAAGAGAGTTCTTTGTTCAAAAGCGCTTGTTAATTGCATTGCAAAATATATTTAACAAAGTATCTCATTGAACAATTTCAAATTTATTATTTTTTAAACACGAGAGAGAGAGAGAGAAACATTTTTTTTTTTTAAATTTTAATGGTCTCTCACGAGAGACTACATTTTTTAGTTGTTGCAAGTCATTCACGGAGACTCGCGATAGTAGGCTTACAAGGGAAATTCATTCGTGCCTTACAATGTGGTCGCTCATGAGAGACTACTGTATGTTGTTGCAAGTCATTCACGGAGACTCGCGATAGTAGGCTTACAAGGGAAATTCATTCGTGCCTTACAATGTGGTCGCTCATGAGAGACTACTGTATGTTGTTGCAAGTCATTCACGGAGACTCGCGATAGTAGGCTTACAAGGGAAATTCATTCGTGCCTTACAATGTGGTCGCTCATGAGAGACTACTGTATGTTGTTGCAAGTCATTCACGGAGACTCGCGATAGTAGGCTTACAAGGGAAATTCATTCGTGCCTTACAATGTGGTCGCTCATGAGAGACTACTGTATGTTGTTGCAAGTCATTCACAGAGACTCGCGATAGTAGGCTTACAAGGGAAATTCATTCGTGCCTTACAATGTGGTCGCTCATGAGAGACTACATTTTTTAGTTGTTGCTTCACGGAGACTCGCGATAGTAGGCTTACAAGGGAAATTCATTTGTGCCTTACAATGTGGTCGCTCATGAGAGACTACTGTATGTTGTTGCAAGTCATTCACGGAGACTCGCGATAGTAGGCTTACAAGGGAAATTCATTCGTGCCTTACAATGTGGTCGCTCATGAGAGACTACATTTTTTAGTTGTTGCTTCACGGAGACTCGCGATAGTAGGCTTACAAGGGAAATTCATTCGTGCCTTACAATGTGGTCGCTCATGAGAGACTACATTTTTTAGTTGTTGCTTCACGGAGACTCGCGATAGTAGGCTTACAAGGGAAATTCATTCGTGCCTTACAATGTGGTCGCTCATGAGAGACTACATTTTTTAGTTGTTGCTTCACAGAGACTCGCGATAGTAGGCTTACAAGGGAAATTCATTCGTGCCTTACAATGTGGTCGCTCATGAGAGACTCTACTGTATGTTGTTGCTAGTCATTCACGGAGACTCGCGATAGTAGGCTTACAAGGGAAATTCATTCGTGCCTTACAATGTGGTCGCTCATGAGAGACTCTACTGTATGTTGTTGCAAGTCATTCACGGAGACTCGCGATAGTAGGCTTACAAGGGAAATTCATTCGTGCCTTACAATGTGGTCGCTCATGAGAGACTACTGTATGTCCAGTATAATTTTTAACAAGAAAAAAAAAATGCGGAGTCATACTTGTGCACCTAATAGATACAAATCACAAGGTGACAACAGTAAATTATAAGTTTCTGCAACAATGTTTTTACCAAAACATATTGTTACATCATGCCCAGTTGCTGTTCTTTGATCAGGATTAACACAAAGATAACACATGTGATAAGGGATAGAGCAAAATTTTAAAAATTTATTATACGCCGCACTGAAGGAGTACAATAAGTGGGGACTTGCCTTCAACTTCCCGGTCAGAAGAATTCTTGGCGCCGAGGATTTCAATCTTGTGAAAATTTCCACTCCACACTGTACATGCCCAGCCTGGGCTACACCGCCTTGTAGGCCGCTCCGATGTCAGGCTCTCCTGGCACGTCTTGTAGGATCATCCACATGCTCGGAGGCAACAGATGTCACCAGACTGTTTCACACTGGAATCCTCGTCTGCCCCCACCCCCTGCCCACATCTCTTCGCTTCACTGCTATTCTTCTACGTTTGCTGCACCACTGCGCTCCTCTACAATTTATGTTCAGGCCCAAACAGATCTATTACCCCTCTTGTGATTGGAGGCCCTTTAATTTCTGTGATGTAACATGAGGCTTGTCAGTCTCCTGGCAGGATTAGTGTCAACAAATCTATGGGTGCCACCACACTGCTGTTGGTACACTCACCATACTTAAACCATGCTCACCATATCCTGACTTGGAAAGTAGAGAGAAGCTAAAAAATCTGAAATAAAATATTGACTAAGATTAATATTTA